TGACAATTTTGCCCCTGGCCTATTTTTGGTCCGAATTTTTGGGAAAATATTTGGGATAATTAAAATTAATTATCAGCTCAATTATTGGACTCAATGACCCTTATGCCCATCAATTATTGGATAGGGATGATTCGAGACCGTCGGATTAAGGGCATTTTGATCAAATTTCCCGGATCGGCGACACGTGGCGCCCACTAAGCCCCACTATTTGACCGGTCTGACCAGCCTCTCTCTCTCCTCCCCCTCATTTGGCTAGCCCCACTGATCAGCTCCCCCTCCTCCACGTTTTCCTCTTCTTCCTCCTCGGCCGCCGTCCGTACGCCGGAGCTCGCCAGACCGCCGCCGGTGCTGCTGCTCCGTCTGACCTCGCCTCACCACCCCCACCCTCATCCCGTCCGTTCTCTCTCTCCCTCGTCCCCGTTTTCTCTCTCTCTCTCTCATTTTCCGTCCGGCCAAAGGAACGCCGGAGCAAGCCGCCGCCGCGCCAGAGCTTGATCAGCCGAGCTGCTGCCGCCATGACCCTCCAGCCGCCCGTACGTCGCCGTCCATACGGTGTCCATACGACTGTCCGTACAGTGTCCGTACGCCGCATCCGTACGTCGCCGCCGGGAGCGCCGCCGCCGGGAGCGCCGCCGCCGGTTCCACCGTTCACCGGTGATCGGCCGCCGTTTCTCGTCGTCGTGAAATTGGATTAAGTGAGTATACCTCCTAAACCCGGATTAGGACTGATAGTGCATTTTCTGGACTGGTTTGGGTATTATCGGTGTATATTAGGACAGGATTAAGGACCGATTGGTGGAAATAAAATCCGAGAAATTTAGTGGGATTATTACAGATAATTATTGGGCTCAGGTTGATGGAATAGTGGCTGTCCGTGTTTTGAGGAATGTACCAGATTATAACGGACAATAGGAATTATTAGTTGAATGGCCCGGATTACCTAGGGTGATTGGTTGTTGATTGATTGGTGATTAATTGTGCTTAATTGTGAAATGCCATGTCGTGTGCTCGTGTGGCTGGAATGGTGCGGTATGTGATTGGCCAATTGTGGCTTGAATTGAATGCCGAATTGAGATTTGTGTACTGGACTGCACGGTATTAAATGGGCCAATTGAGCACGTATTTGTGGCATTGAATTGATTAGGTGCTTGAATTATGTTCAATGCTCATGGTGCATTGTGATGCATTGCATGGTCACGCATTGTGTATGCCGAGAATGAGGCATGTGATGAGATTGTGCGAGAATGCGTGCCTGCCATGAGCTTGTGATCACCTAATTATGCCCTGATGCGTTTTACGCGGGGTTCAGATAAAAACTGGCTGTGTGCATGTGTGATCACATTTCGCCCTGATGCGTGTTACGCGGGGTATGCCGTCCTCATGCACTTTGTAGCAGGACGATGCCCGGCACGTCCGGAAGACGACCATCCTGATGCGTTTTACGCGGACTCTGGTTCGTAAGGAGATCGGTGTTGCGCCTGATGCGCTTTGACACGGGCTAGAGACACTGGGTCTGGAACGTTTTTACGTTGGCCACGAAGTGTTGTGTTCAAGAAAAGGGACCTGATGCGTTTTTACGCAGGACGTATCAAATGGTAAATTGAGCATGCGTATGACGTACATATGAATAGCGTGTTCACGTATGTGGATTGATCAATATATTGAAATGCTTAACCTGCAGGGTCAGCCAGTTAAGTGATCGGGCACGAGGGCCCAGGTCGAATAATAATTGTGATTTGTATTATTATGTGGATTGTTGTATGCCTGTCAGGAGAATGCATGCTAGCCTAGCCTAGATTTAGGGGTTATACTCGCTGAGATTCGTCTCACGGTTGTAAAAACTCACATTTTCAGACCCTCAGCCGTAAGGATGCCGAATCCACCGCTTTTTGGAATACCTACACAGATACATCAGTATACAAGTATATACCCCGCAGGAAATGGGGAATCTTATGTGAGATACCGATCCGTAGTGTTTGTAAACATGGGAGAGTATTTTCATCAGATTCAGGAATATGTAGCTTGGTGCTTGAGAGATGCCGACGGAAATATTGGGCGACCCCTTAGGACATTCGACGTTCCGGTAGACATAGGCGGGGTGATGATACCCCAGATGGCTGATGGTGAGATTGTGGATCCCCAGATCATAGATGAGCCGGTCGATGTGAATCCGATACCCGAGATGTGGTATGAGGACCCTAAGCCGATGGAAGAGGAGCCGGAACCGGAGCCGATGGATCAAGACTCAAGCGAGGACGGAGAAGTCGCTGAGGTAGGATCTGACGAAGAGCTGGGAGTGGACGACGAGTTAGGTCTCTACCTAGATCCAGAGTTGGAGCAGGACTCTGAAGATGAGCGAGCCCAAGCCGAAGATATAGATTCTGAACCGTCCGAGTCTTCAGAGAATCCTTCAGAGGAGCCGTCGGACGACACTACTAAGTCTTCCGACCCTGAGTGGGAACCGTAGGTTTATCCTGAGCCATAGCTAGTAGTGAGGGCTGGTAACTTTTTGACTGTAGCCCTCTCTTTGAATTAGTCTGACCTCTCTAGCCACTTTCTTTTTTGACCCTGTGGCTGCTGACTGTGTAGGTGTGGACTTGTATCTTTTGATAGTTGTGTATGGATGTTTGTAAAGAAGTTTTCAATAGCAATGTAAAGTGCAAGTAAATTTTCATCATTGTTGGTTGTTGTTTGGTTATCCTTGGCTCATGTATATACTGTCAGGGTTTGTTATTTATTACTTCCGCTTATGCTCTACTCTCTGTTTGGGTGTTGGGTCGGCGACGTTTCCTGGGACGTCGCACACAAGCAAATCGACCTTTACGTGGGATGTTAACGCTTCGTGGGGTACGGGGCGTGACAACTGCTCTTTGCCACTAGCATCCTGCATGTTAGCCTCAGTACTTTTTGTGAAAGGCACAATCTGAGTAGATGGGTTTGGGGTCTCAAGGATGATTTCCTCATCCAATAGTTCTTCACTCCATTCTTTGTAAAACACCTTCCAATATGGGCTATACTATGGAGCTTCTGCCTTGACTCAAGGATTCTTTGCTGTTCCAACTCATAGTTGAATGTTATAGCAAAAGTTCCTAAAGTCATTAGCCTTTTGGGACCACATAGTATAAAGGACAACAACTTTATATGGAGGTCCTCACAATCGCAACTAATTGATTAAATAATTGACTCCGCGGATGATTGAATCAAGTCGGTTCCCACAATAGCATAAAATTGATTAAACAAAGTGAGGTCCCCATAATCACAATTTCACTGTTTCGCGATTCCTTCACTAGTACCAAGAACTCTTTTTGCCTCCTAGCTGAGCCCTAATTTTGCCCTCCGCCCCTTAATTTTGCCGTCGGAGCCCTAAATTTTCCACCCAATTAAGCAAGGGAGAGAAGATGACAAACATGAGCAAGTTAAGAGTTACGGAGACGACAGGCGAGCGACAGAAGAAGAGCAAGTGAGCGACAGTTAGTCAACGAGGAGAGTAGTTCGTATGTAGTAACAAGAACTCAATGCCCCAATTTTGATTCACCTTGTGTGACGTTGTCTTGGCTAGAGTCTATGCGATGCCGTTTCTTTTGTTTGAGCCATGTAGGACGGAAAAATGACATCGTTTATGACATCCATGTGGACTGCGTTTTAAAAATATGCCACATCAATTTTTTTTCAATTATAAAAGCCACCTAATCAATTTGGCCGGAATTTCTCACCGGTGGCACTTAAGTGATCATTTTTTCTTCGATTTAATATTTAAGTGAGCCGGCGGAAATTTTCGGCACCAAAGTAAGCGCCGTATACAACTTTTAGCACTTATAATGTCATTCTCCCTAAGTTTTTATGTTAGATGGTTGATTGAGCCCTTAAACTTAAATAACCAATTACGGTTTGGCATCTCATTAATCTATTTTGGTATCTCTAGAATTATTTTTAAAAATCATGACCCTTCTAAAATTACGTCTTATCGTCTTATTTCCTGTTCGATATGATATTATCATGTATAAAATCTTTCGTGAGTGTTTGTCATGCATAGTGGATGAACTTTTTTCTTTTCGTTAGAAGCAAAAGTCCTTTGAAAGAAGGGGAACATAGTCTTGTTCATTAGCATTAGTAAGGACACTTTTCAAAGGGGGGAAAATTGTCCAAAAAGTCTAAAACCTATTGTACTTTTATCAATTCTATCATAAAATATTTCAATTTTGCCAATCAAGGCCTAAACCTTTTCACTTCTTTCCAATTGATCAATCCGGCTAATTTTGACCGGAAATAACTGACTTGAACGATGGGCGACCTACATGGCGATGATATGGACAATTTGTAATAATAGATTAATATTTTTAGAATTTTTTTATTTTTTATTTTTATTTTCTATTATTTTTCCTGTTTTCCTTTTTCTTTTCTTTCTCCCTCTCTTCCTCCTCTAGCTGGTCGCTGGGTCTCGGCAACCGGCCAGAGGCGAGGGTTGGTGGGGCCGACCTCGCCTAGCCATGGCAAAGCTTGCCATCGTCGGGCTAGCGAGATCGAGCCTCGACAAGCAGCCTCGCCAAAGGGCCGGCGGGGGTGAGGTCGACTGTGCACCAGAGGCCCGGCGACCGGATGAAGGAGAAAGAAGGGGAGAAAAAAAAAAGAAAAAGAAAAAAAAGGAAAAAGTAAAAAATAAAAATAAAATCGAAAAATATTAAAATATTTTTAAAATTGTTTACATTAACGTCACGTAGGCCAGCCACCGTCCACGTCAGCAATTTCCATCCCAAATTAGCTAAATGGACTCAATTGACAAGAAATGAAAAGATTTAAGACTCAATTGATAAAATTGAAATTTTTAAGATTTAAGTGGTAAAAATATAATAAGCTTAGGATTTTTTTAATAATTTTTCCTATAAAACGAACAATGGGCCCAAAACTGAAGAGCAGGCCGGCCCAATTTTTGATAAATTAAATAAAAAAAATTCAAACGCATCGCTACCCACTTGATGCCTTGGATCTCTGCTTCATTTTCACTTCGTCTGGGGAAGCGGGAGGCATGAACAAGGAGGAGGGGGAGATGGAAACGGGGAAGATAGTGATAGAGAAAGTGAGGGGCAAGTCGACAGTCACCAAATCGTTCTCCAAGTATCCGCTCAAGTTCATCATCCCTCGCAAGGTTGCTCAGTCTTGTTTTTTCCTCGGTCTTGTTCATGCCCTTTTCATTTCTTTCTTCTATCCGCCAAATTCAAGACTGAATCGCTTGTTTCTCCAGGTGGGTCCTTCACGGGTCGATGCCGTTTGGATTTATGCTCTCACCTATGGCGGTGGCATCGTCTCCGTGCGTTTTCACTTCCCATCTTTCATAATATTTTTGAATTGGCAATTCAAGAATTTCAATTCTTTACTAGAAATGTGTGAAGGCATGTTGGTTAGTGTGAGGTTCGAGTTAGTCGTGTTGGGTCGTGTCGTGTTTGGTGTTTTTTCTATGGGTCCGTGTGGCGGTCTCATGATGAATATTCGATGGAGGGGAAATGGTTCAGAACTGCATGTTTAATGGGAATTGATCTGTTGTTGATTTAGGGAGATGCTATTTCTTGTAAGCTTGAGATTGGAGATGGTTGCACGGCTGTCTTAACAACTCAATCTTCCACTAAGGTTGGTTCTTCCAACTTCTGTTGATTTGGCAATAATATATGTTGTTGGAATCTGCAAGCTATGCAGCTTTAGGATGTAGTAGTGCAGTCTCTGTGGATTTCGGTGATGTGAATTGGCTTCCGATGCTTGAAAGTTAAAGGTGTTGCAGGTTTATAAGTCTCTGGGATCAAAATGCTCTGAACAGTACCTTGAGGTAATTATGTTTTCGCACTTTTTGGTATTCCGTACTCCTTTTTTGAGGCTTTCTTGTTATTACTAACTTGGTTTCCCGGTTGTCGCATGGCAGTGCGATTTTATTCTCTTTTTTTGTTAGCTGAAGTCATGGTGAATTTGTTAAATTAGGTGTAACTTTCGAATGGTATTACATTCCTATGTGACAGCGCGGCTTTATTATTGCAATGCAGTAGGCAGAAATTGGGAGCGACTCCATGTTGGTCCTCATTCCGGATCCAGTGACTTGTTTTTCCACTGCGAGGTACTTCCAAAAGCAGGTTTTTAGGGTGCATTCGGATTCAAACTTGGTCCTAGTCGACTGGATTACAAGCGGACGGCATGAAAGCGGAGAAAAATGGGATTTCACGCTTTATAAGAGCACCAACAACATTTTCTTAGAGGGTGATCAGCCTTTATTTCTCGACACGGTAATGGTTTTGTTTTTTCCATAGTTTCAGGATCTGTTTCAGAATTTTAGTATTAAGAGTACCCTCTGTTTCTAATACTTTTGGCCCTATCCTGTGAGAATGCAAAAATAAAAAGGAGGATAGAAACATGGGAATTCCAATGAATGATGTTACGATAATTGCAATTTGTGTTATGGATAGGTTGAGAAAGAAGCAATATGAGTTTACAGCCTCCCTTTTTGGCTTACACTTATGAAGATTGCTCTTCTGTGACTTCATTTGACTAATCAAATATTTGAACAGGTATTGCTAGAGCAGGGAAGTATTGTTCCTCTGGCAGAACGCATGCAGGATTATCAAGTCATTGCAATGGTTGTACTTTTAGGGTAAATATAGTAGGTTTTCGAAGTTCCCATTACACAGTCTTTTCAGTTGTACTGCTTATATCATGGTTATTGACCGCACGAGAAACTTATTTCCATATATACCATTGAACGTTTGCTCCTTTGCAGGCCAATGCTGAGGCATATTCAAGGCCAAGTTCAAGAAGATGTAAAGAGGATGATGGCCGAGCAACTACAAGGTTCTCCTGTTCGATGGGATCGCCAGATAACTTCCAATACACGTGATTTTGCCAAAAAACCATCCTTAATAGCGTCTTGCAGTGCCTTTGGCCATAAGGTACCCTTTTTTTTAATCGACGAACACAAAATCAGGGTGCTTCATGGGATAAGGTTTTGGGAACTATACACGGCAAATCCATTTGTTAGGTTGTTTTGGACCCAAGTTTTTCAAAATCGTTCCTGACAGAAACCTAACGCTTTTGAAACCTGAACCATTGTGCAAACCTTTCAATGAATTTTTATTTTACATATTGGTCATTATAGACCACTGAAGTAGGGAATTTCCTTTTCTATTTCCCCAATTTGAAAAAAGTAATGTAGTTCTGCACTAAAATAACGTGAGGTTCTTGCTGTTTTCGTCGATTTTTGAGATTATAAAAGCTTGGCATTAGGTATGTGATCATTGACCCCTTGAGCGGGTGTCTTGAGTCTGAACTTCCAGAAAAGATTATAGATGTCACCCTGGCGAGCTGCATTCTGCAATGCTGTCTCAGTTGGTTTGATTGACATATAATATTTGTTTTAGTTGCTCATCTTGCTTTTCAGTATCTTGTCTGAGATATTTCAATCTTCAGCTTGTTCAGTTTTCAGTTCTTACTTCCACTTTTAGGTCATTAGTCCAAGAGAATTAATAAGCTTTTTTTGTACAGGTTATTCTTTGCCGTCTTTATCTTCTATAGCCAAGTTATAATGGTTTTTGTTGCCTTTACTGGTCCTTAACAAGTAAAACTGACCACCGCCCTCAGCGGCTGCGCTGGCTTCGGGCTTCCCTCCCCCCACGAAGGGTAGGAGTTCGAATCCCAGCTCTGGCGTTAGGGATTCTTAAGCGTGACGTCGTGGTGGTGGGTTCTGCGCTAGCGTCACCCCGGGTTTACCTCCCCGGCTGTCGGCCGTGCGGGGGGTTCCCGGGTTACCAAAAAAAAAAAAAAAAAAAAACAAGTAAAACTGTGTCAATGTCTTGGTGGCTCGATCATTTCCCAGTTAGTTGCTTTGATATCGTATGGTAAACGCAACAAGTGTGAACCAAATTTGTAGACACAGACACCACTAGCTTAGATGTTTTTTCAAGGTGCCTTTGATAATTAATGTTTAAAGCCTGATGATACTTTTTGTACAGGGAGGAGGGATCATTGTTCGAATAGCTTCCTTGACAACCGAATCAGTTTATCAATTCCTGAAGCATCAATTAGCTGGCTTGGAGGCATTGCTGGGGGTGTCGCCTTATTCTTGAAGAATGGCGGTAACAGGAGCTCTCACCCAGCCTTTTTTGGTCTGCGCGCAAAGTTGTCAAAAAGGTTGACCGACGTTCTTTATTTAGGTATGTGTCAAAAGGTTGCTGTCTTGGTGACAGGTTGTGATTGTTGCTATTCTTCTATATCCCGGCTCAACATCAAGAAGCATATCTCAGCTCCATAGAAATTGTGTGTTGACTGTTCAAAATTTGCTAATTTTTCCGAGTTCACGTTTTGATACATTTACATTTATCGTCATCGCTGAACATGGAGAACACTTGCCAATTGCCACTAGTCCCAGTTGCCGGTACCATTCACTGAGGTTCGTCTGGACATGATTGGATAGGTGAAACTTAATGTTTTTTGCGTTGATTGAACTGTAAGTTTGTGATTCAGCTTGCAAGTTAAATAAGACGAAATGAAAGCAGCTCCTTCTCATCGATGAGAACAAAAGTGGAAGCGCATTACCCAACTGGCTAAAAAGTGGAATAACAATATGTTAGCTTCTTCCAATAGTAATAATACGATGGAATGCTCTAAAACGGACTGATAGGAGGCTTAAAGAGATTCGAATGTGTGTTGCAAACGCCATTGCCGGGGATGAGCCATTTGCAACTACTAATTAAGATTTGTCAAAATAGGTCATACATCCAATTCTTAATTCATATCTAATGAGCTAAGTTATTATATGAGTTAGTTATATTCAGTACATGGGTCATAAATGAGTTTAGAATGGTAAAATTATACTCAGTACATGGGTCATAAATGGGTTTAGAATGGTAAAATTCAAAATAATATAGGTATTAAATGAGTTTATAATTAATTTAGTCTCAATCCACCTATATGACTCTCTCTTCCCCTTCCATCTCTCTCGCCTTCACTTGTTCTCGCGATTGTTCACTCACTCTGCTCTTTCATCTTAGTTTGTGTATGAATTTTCTAGATTGGATTAAATATAAAATTGTTTTAGCAATATGGGTCGGGAATGGATTGGGTACTGGTCGAGTCGAGTCGGGTCGGGTTGGGTCATTAGATTGTATGGCATGAAAATTGATCAATTTGGATCGGATCATTTTTTATCCTAACCAACCCACTTGTTTTACAGGTCTATTAATTACTAGTATATCATTTACCATAAAAAAGCAGACTATTCAATCCTCCATCCTTTTTTTCGACCAAAAAAAAAAAAAACTCTCCATCCTTTTGCAAACTATACTCAATATTCAATATTTTATTTTTGTATATTACTATTTTACCTTTAAAAGTTAATTAACTTTATTATCATCTTTAAACAATGTGAGTTTATTGGGTACTAGATTTAATCATGTAATGAAATAAGATATATTTTGAGTTAGAAATAATTTGATAAGAAGTATTATTATTTGTTTAGTTTCCGTTTTCTTTTATAAGTATAGCTTTTTAATTTTTCTTTAGCTAATTTCATCGTAATAGTACAGTATAATCAATATCAAAGGAAGTTAAATCATGTTATGATGGAATCAATATTTAAAATTAGGAGCAATAAATATATGATTTATTTTCACTTTTCAACCATTAAATATAGTTTTATATCATCAATTATATTCCAAATAGTTTAAATTTATGTTATTGACATTATGAGTAATTTTTCTCAGCTTACTTCAACATTAAACTAAATGGATTCTAATAATTCGTATATACAGAATAATATTTATTAGAGGTGATTGGTTCTCGGTTCCCAAAATTAGGAACCGGGAATCGGACCGGACCAGTTCGATGAAACTGGTCACTTAGGGTTTAGTTTTTTTTTTTTTTTTGGTCAAAGACTTAGGGTTTAGTTCACATTTTATTAATTTTTGTCAATGAATTTATAACAATGAAGTTCACTTAGGGTTTAGTTCACATTTTACTAATTTTTGTCAATGAATTTATGTCGATGAAGTTTACTTCGGGTTTAGTTCAAATTTTACTAATTTTTTTAAAAAAATTTAAAAATATATATAGTCGGCCTAATCCGGTTCCTCCTTGGAACAGGGAACTGGACTGCCTGGACACCGATTCCACTTTTAGGAACTGAAAATCGGACTGATACTCTCGGGAATCGGACCAAACCGGTTGGTCCGAGTGATTCCTGGTCCGTTTTGCACACCCCTAATATATATTATTTAATAAAATTATTTTAAGATATTTTATCTTCATACATTGTTTTTTTAGTATCAAACCAAAAGAGATAAAATTTTCAAATTAAATTAACAATTATAATGAGTTTTTTTTCTTTTCAAGCCGATTCATACTTTTAAAAATGTATTTCAAGACATTTTTATCTAAATTCAAATGATCTCGTATATAGTTGTGCGCACTAGTATTGTTTAGGAAATATTTCCTCTACTTCCCCTTTCTACTGCATTCGTACAATTTAGTTGTCCCTGTTTTGTAAATAGTCAAGTGCAAACTATTTGGAATGTCCATTGTATTTCAAGACTTGTCAAACGGATGGATCGGATAAAAAATGGTTCGACTCAAATTGACTTATTTGACCCGTTTTAACTCATTTCCGTGCAATACAAATCTAGTGACCAATACTCGACCTGACCCATATTGTTAAAATACTTCTATATTTAACCCAATTTAGAAAAAAAAATCATGCCTAAATTAAGGTGAAAGCACAAAGTGAGCGAGCGCAAGATCGAGTGAGTGCGAGAAAGAGCGAAAAGAGAGTCGTAGAGGTGGGTTGAGTATAAATAAATTGTGAACCCGTTTAACATATATTTATGATCTATAGAGTTGGGTCTTAATCCATTTATGATCCATTTACTGAATATAACCAACTCATATAACAACCCAACCCAACTCATTAAATATGAGTTAAGACATTGAGAGGTCTACCTGAAAAATAGTTGTGTTTTTCCTTCTCCACTCACTGAAGGGCGGAAAGTATTCTTGAGGATAGTCCTTGCATGTTGCATGCCATAAATATCGAATTTCCATTATGTGATTCTTGGATTTTTAAAACACAAAATGCTTTTAATAGGTAAAAAAGGTTGAAAGTGCCATAATGGGGAGAAAAGGTTTGCAAAGAATGGGGGTTTTGGGAAAAAAAAAAACTCGGTTTGATCCATATGAGGTGAGGAAAGGATGGGGAGTTTTACTCCTTAAAAAATAATAATAATTTTAGGTTATTCACCAAGGATAATTATCATCTCCATCACTACTGTTAAATAGCGATTTTATCGGTTGTATTATGTTCTTGACAAGCATTTTTAGTTTGTAGAAAATCGCTAATCATTATATACATGTTAAAGTACCTCACATCACTTGCCTACCGAGTTTATGATTTTATAGTCTCCCTCAACCTGTTAGTTGAACATTTTGGGTTAAACGTTCTAACAATATAAATATGTTGCGATTACACAACTATTGGCGATGTGGTGTGATTATTGACTTAGACAGGGTGAAATTGCCGCTCCTATTGGAGGGAGGGCGATCTATGGGAGAATAAATGGGACGCCAATACCTCACTTAGTGCCCTAGTTCATCTCTTTAATATATAATTTGAAAAAAAAAATAGTATAAATGTTATTAGCTTCTTCACAAACTCAATCATATTCCGAAGTAAGTGGATTTTTCTGGTTCAGCGAATGAATATGGTAGGATTATGTGTTCTTGAAAAAAGTTGGGTTAATACTATGAAAAATCCCAAACTGATATATTTATGACAAATTTATCTCAAATTAATTTTTTGACCACAAAAAATCCCAAACTGGTGCACCTGTGACAATTTTTACCTTCTGTTAGTTTCCATTAACTTTTATCGTTAAATTTCTAAGTTAGATGACACGTGGCAGTTGACGGGTGTACTGGTTTGGTTTTTTACCTTCCGTTTGTCATGTGTACCGATTTGTGATTTTTCGTGGTATTAATTCAATTTAATGGAGGGTAAATTTGTCACAAGTGTACCAATTTAGAGTTTTTTGTGGTCAAAAAATTAGTTGGGGCTAAATTTGTCACAGATATACCAATTTGAGATTTTTGGTGGTCAAAAAATTATTTGGAGTAAATTTATCATAAATGTATCAATTTAAAAATTTTCGTAGTATTAACCCAAAAATGTTTTAGTCTCCTAGAAAATAACTCCTAACTCCGTAGACTTTCAGAACGTCTCTGTCAATCAAGAGTGGCGAAATAAAGGGAGGAGCCTTTGATGCTCGTACTTGTACATGATCGACTGATTCAAGTTTTTCCAATCCATAATTTTGGATTCTAACAAACATCCAATCTATTTTTTTTTTCAAAAAAAAGGTCATATTTATTGCAAATATAACTTGGATAACTGTCAATTTAACTAATGTAATTGATTAATTGCCGAATAATAAACTAGCAAACTAAAACTCATGAACTTATTATCTTATATTCGAACCTTTCTTCAAAATAAAATTAATGACATAACTGTTTGAGAAGGATAATAGAAGTTCATTTCAAATGATTCAAGAATTTATTTGAAGATTTTTTTTATCCATTGTAAATTCAAATTGAGTAGGTGATAGAAGTCTGGGGATGACAATCACTAAAAAATACTAACTAGTCAAAATGAGCTATGTGGCACAATTATAAGATTGCTTGGACCAACCCCTCTGATCTCTCCCGATCCCTGCCAATCCTTTCTTCACCTCTTTCTCTTGAAACACGATTGCGACTTTAGAGCCCTTCCCCATCCCTCTCAACAAATTTCGTTAAAGTATATAATTAAGCATATGATTTCAAATTTTTATTAATATCACAAAAAACCCCAAACTAATACACCAATAACAAATTTATCCAAAACTAATTTTTTGATCACAAAAAACCCAAACTGATACATTTATGACAATTTTACCCTCTATTAGTTTCCGTTAAATTTTACAGTCAAATTTCTGAGTTGGATGACACATGGCTATTGACGAGTATACCGATTTAGAGTTTTACCCTCCATTTGTCACAAATATACCAGTTTATGATTTTTCGTTGTATTAATTCAATTTAACGGATGATAAATTTGTCATAAATGTACCAGATTGGGGTTTTTAGTGGTCAAAAAATTAGTTTTGGGTAAATTTGTTACGGATATACCAGTTTGAAGTTTTTCGTAATATTAACCCTAATAGAAATTAAAGGCAAGGTAGATCTTATTAAAAGACCAATTCATATATACACCTCGACTATATGATTATAGTCCATACCGATATATTTTCCTCCGATAAGCAAACTTTGCCTATCCACAATCTATATAAATAAGCAAAATAAATGACTCCTTATCCATAAATCCACCATGACTAACTAGACAAATTAATTCTGCCCGAAAAGAAAAGCAAGGCACTAAATAAAGGTTTAATACCATGAAAAACATTAATATGGTATATTTGTGATAAATTTACTTCAAATTAATTTTTTGACTACCAAAAACCTGAAATTAGTACACATGCGATAAATTTGCCCAAAATTAATTTTTTGACGATAAAAAATCCCAAATTGTTATATTTGTGATAAATTTACCATCAGTTAGTTTCCTTTAAATTAGATTAATATCACAAAAAATCACAAACTGATATACCTGTAACAAATGACCTAAATTGGTATATCCGTCAATAATCATGTGTCATCAAACTCAAGAATTTGACGGAAAAATTTAACGGAAAGTAATTGAGCGTAAATTCATCACATGCGTATCAGTTTGGGTTTTTTGTGATCAAAAAATTAATTTGCGATAAATTTATGGTAGATGTATTTTTCGTGGTATAAATCCTTCAATAAATAAATGGAAGAATTTAGAGCGAGAACATGGAGAACCTATAAACGCGACGTGCATGCAAGTTAGAGAGAGAGAGATAAGATAGGGAGAGAAGGAGAGAGATTCTCGCGGGAAGGGAAGGAAAGGAAGAGGGAAAAGCGAATAGTCGTCATCGGAGTCATCGGAGCTCCTTTCTCTCTCTCTCTCTCTCTCTCTCTCTCTCTCTCTCTCTACCTCCTCCCAATCCACCAAATTCGTCGTTGTCCTCCTTCCCACGCTTCTCCGTCTGGTTCGAATCAATCCCAGAATTCTTGGGTCTGATCTCTTCTCTTGACTCCGGTAAGTTGCCCCTCCTTTCTCGCTCCTTCGATTTCAATCGCTGTCTGTCCGTTGATGCATGATTGACCCCTGTTCGCTTCGCTTCGTTTTCGATCATGGGTCTGGTCCCTCCGTGTCCGGTTCTTCGTTTTGTCGAGAGACCACGATGACCATGATGGCTGAATTGCCTCCTCCTCGATCGGCAGATGCTGCTTCTGTGTCATATTTGATTTTCTTCTGCTTTGTTGGGTCCTCGATGCGTATGGGATTATTAAATTTCTGGCCGTGTTTCTTTACAAGGGGTGTGCCTAGTACAATTTGGCCGAGTTGATTTTGATGTTGTGGCAGGCCGGCTCGTGTAATTTGGCATCTTTTGGTCTCCAGGGACATCTTATAATATGCATTTGCGCATTGGGGGTATCGTGATGGATGGTTGGTAGGTCGCGTGATAAATAAAGTGAATTCTTTTTTGGCGGGGGGCAGGATTGAGGTTGAGGAATGGATTCGGCCAGGAGTTGGCTCCAGAAATTCCAGCCCAGGGATAAGTTGAGATCAAATACGAAGAAGAAGGAGCCGGGTGGTTCCGGGAGAGAGGATTCGAGCGTGCGCTTGGTGTCGGGGGATGAAGCGACCTCAAATGTCACCAAGCAGAGGGTCGCGGCCGCCAAGCAGTACATCGAGAACCATTACAAGGAGCAAATGAAGAATCTGCAGGAGAGGAGGGAAAGGTATGGACCGAACCTCAAATAGAGATAGAGATAAGTTCTTTGCTCAGAGATTGAACAGAATGCTCTTTCTTTCTGAATTTTTGGAATTGTTAGAACAGATGAATGGGTTCCTCTCTCTATATTGCACCTTTAAGGTGCAGTGGTCCTTTATTGATAGATCGTAACAGTATCCGTCATGGGAAAGGTCGATACCTGCTTTATCCGTATCTTGTTATGTTCCAGCCATTTCACTCAAATGTATATGGGGCCTCTTTCCAAGGGCTTTCGAAGTATAAATGTCGACTTTCAATTTCTCCACATTATAAGGAATCATTTCGCTTTTTACCTGAAGTATAAGGGATCAGCTTAATGATAGAAACCTAATTAGCTTATAGACTTAGGGTTAGTCCATCTCTGAAAAGAAAATTTTGTGGGGGATGAAGTTATGCATGACCTGAATTATGGAGCTTGTCTGGACATTGTTCACTTTTCATTGTAGATTTCTTGAATTGGCAATACTGGTGTTTCTCAAATCTTCGGAGTAGGGTCATTTCCTTTAGCAACCACTTAATTCATTACCAAGAATAGATTTTTTCACATGTATTCTAGTTTTTCTTGCTTGGTGTCTAAAATCATTATATGAATAGTATCTCTTGAGGAGTTTACCAATCAAGTCATTGAGAGGGTTCCGATACTTGAGAGCAATCTGATTCTTGCTTTACTCTTGACTCTCCTTCAAGTTGCTTATTTGTAATCTTCACTTTTCCTCTAGACGAATTTTTTTGGAAAAGAAGTTGGCAGATGCTGATGTCTCTGAAGAAGATCAAAACAACCTCCTCAAATACTTGGAGAAGAAAGAAACAGAGTACATGCGTCTTCAAAGACATAAAATGGGTGTTGATGATTTCGAATTATTGACAATGATTGGAAAAGGTGCATTTGGAGAGGTGATTGTTCTATTCTTCTGTTCCTATTTATGGAATGTGATGGTTCCTTCAACTATTTCCTTTCTCGATGGTTTTGGCAACTTTTCCCCCATATATATATTTTCAATCGAACATGCTAATTTCATTGACTAACAAGAGATCATTTATGGATACTTTATAGCTTTGCTTCTCCCTAAATCAAGCACGCAGTTAGTTACCATTGCATGAATGTTCTTGTGATAATTCTCATGATTTCACTTTTTACTTACTAATGTGTATTGAGTCTGCAACTTAGAAAACAAATTGAATAAAATATGTTTCTGAAGGACAAATGGAGTAGTAGCATTAAGTTCATAAATTTTATTTCTCCATAATCAAGAAAGGAACATTATTGCTAGAAAACTTATTAGGATGTGTTTGGTAGTCTGGAATTGTTTACTAGAGAGATTAGGATAAAATAAGAAGTACCTCAAGTTCCTTGACAAGAGGTGAGAATGAAATATTAGAAATAACGAACACCAAACGATCGATGAACCTAGCAAAAAGAAACAAATGATTGGTGAATTTCCTTGATAAATTTACCCAAGCTGCTTGGTCAATATGGATGAAACTCCACTCTGAGATACACAATGGTGAGATTCTGATACCAGCGGCATTTCAACAAAGATAGAGCAATTTAGAGAGCCAAATGGCATTACCAGGGATATGAATGGATAATCTTATAAAGAATGTCCCAAAAGGTAAGTTATGAGATTTGGCACAGAAAGCTCATACCACTTAGCATTATAGAGAAATAAGAAAATTGAGCAAATAGAAGCAAGCTCCCAATCATAAAGAATTCCCGACAAAAATGGGATTTGAATGAACAGCTTTAAACTTGCACAGAAATAATCTGATTTGAAAGTATTCTGGTCAACTGAATGTGTGTTCAAATTCCTGTTAGTCTGAAGTTAGGAATTGTAATCATGCTTTAGTTACCGATTATTTACAATTTATATTCAATGGCATTGTATGGAATTAACAGGCAATAACAAAAAGTTAAGAACTCAATTGACCGTGGATAATAAATTAGTGAATTCATTAACAAAGAAAAGATTGTAATTCAAAGTTCATCAGGCATCATTTTCACTCTTGATGTTGTAGATTAGGTTCTTATAAGTGTTGTGGTGTCCAATAGCACTAGATGCTAGCGGTTGTTTAGCAGGAAGTTTTTAATGTGTTGAATTGATATAGGGTGTTCCATCATTATGATGACATTGATCTTTCTATGTAGGAAATTGATCCTATTAGAATATTCTGTACTGTTAAGAATTTAAAATAGTGAAGAAAAGGTGGAACTGCAAAAGCTGCACTGAGTTGCTGCTTGAAAATCAGTTTTTAACCCCTCCATCTTTCATTTGCTTCTGGAGTTACTGTAGATTTTTGAAAGCTAAAGCAGATAAAGGCACTGCCAAATAGTTATATAATCAACTTGGATATAATAGGTTATGATAGTTTATCACTCTACGTGAATCCCGTAATTATCAACATTACTGGTAAACTACGTTAAACTTTATTGACTTTTACTATTCATATTAGAAAGAAGTTAATATATTTAATATACAGCTATTGCATGTAATGGTTTCTTTTATCCATATTCCTTCACCTTGTATGTCATTCTTAGCTTTGGAGAGATAATAGACAACAGTATTTTCTGCTTTGGACTTCAGGTTAGAGTTTGCAGGGAGAAGACAACAGGTCAAGTATATGCAATGAAGAAGCTCAAGAAATCAGAGATGCTTCGTAGAGGCCAAGTAATGTTGGAACCTATGTCCTACTCTTGGTTTAGCTTGTATTTTCATTCTTATTGTTCAATTTTGTTATTCTAGGTTGAGCATGTGAAAGCCGAAAGAAATCTGCTTGCAGAGGTTGACAGCAATTGCATCGTCAAACTATATTGCTCCTTCCAAGATGATGAGTTTCTTTATCTTATAATGGAATATTTACCGGGTGGGGACATGATGACTTTACTTATGCGAAAGGATACCTTGACCGAAGATGATGCCAAGTTTTATGTTGGGGAAACAGTTTTAGCTATCGAATCAATTCATAAGCACAACTATATTCACAGGTTGGTGTGAGATGTCTTATTTTGCATTTCTGCTGATGTTATACGTGAAAGAAAATATCCTTTTATGTGGCACAAACTTGTGGATTTACCACCTTCATGTTCTATCTTCCAGAGACATCAAGCCTGATAATTTACTACTAGATAGATTTGGGCACCTAAGGCTGTCAGATTTTGGATTATGCAAACCATTAGACTGCAGTACTCTGGAAGAAAAGGATTTCTCAGTAGGAAACAATGTTAATGGATCAAATCAAATTGACGATCGTCCTGCAGCTCCAAGACGTACACAACAAGAGCAATTACAACACTGGCAGAAGAACAGGAGAATGCTTGTAAGATCCCATAATTACTCAATATAATTTGATGCAGCTCTGTTTTTTGAACGACTGTAGTAGGGGTTTCCTTCTCACTTCAGGAGCACTCTTATAGTAGTCTCTCTTATACTTTCTTATATGGAAATGGAAGGGTGTATAATTCCAGCATAACAAGAATTCTGAGCACTAATCTTGATGATTTTGCCTTTGGCCTTTTTCAATAGTAGCTCTGATTCACAGTCTTGGTATGAAGTTGTGTAATTTGGTTTATAAGCTTAAATCGTCTAATACTGTAGGCTTATTCGACTGTGGGTACACCTGACTATATTGCTCCAGAGGTTTTGTTGAAGAAAGGTTATGGGATGGAATGCGATTGGTGAGTATTCCAATTCGTGTAATAGAAGTCACTATACGAGATTAATGAAGTTTCTTGCTTGTTGGACATGTCGTCTTTTTCATGGAGATCCAATTGAGTTTCTGCAGCATGCTTTAGATAATCTAAAAGTGCATTTGGCATTTGGAGAATGTTACTTTCACTCTTGGTTTTCATTTTGCTGGATCTATTTAAGAGTTACCTATCTGTGTGGACTATTCTTTTGAAGGTGGTCTCTTGGTGCCATCATGTATGAAATGCTCGTGGGGTATCCGCCATTTTACTCTGATGACCCAATGTCTACTTGTAGGAAGGTAAGCCATGGAGCCATTCAATATTTTTTTACAAAAAGGCCATTTACTTCGTCTTAGTTTTGTTTCTTTCATTTTTATACATCTATCACAAGTTCTGTTGAAGAATGTTTCCGTGCTTTCACTTATTCTAGGTATAAATTATCTACCAATATATACATGTGTTTGTAAGTATTCATGATTCTTTTAGATTTTTGTTTTTCTGCACAACGAAGTTGCTTCTTTTAATCCTTTTGATATGTTTGACCAAAAAAAAAATATCAGCCTGTAATGCTCTGAATGTGTAACATCAAGTTGCTTGTCTAGTTGGCTACATAGCCTTGTGCTACTAATGTGACTTTGATGACTGGCCACTGATGTGATTTTGCTGTAGTGTCCATGCCCTTAGTGGTAGTGGAACTTATGTTTCAAGATTGTGGTGGAATCTCTCTATTTTGTTTCTTGGCCATCACAAATTCACTCCATTTTGTAATCTATGTGCAGCCTGTGAGATCAACAATTAATAATATGGTCTGGTATGAATTTACTTTGCACAAGATATAACTTATTACTTCTTTGGACCCTTGTGAAGAAGTATTTAAGAATTGAAATAGTTCATAAGAAAGGCTTTCAAGTCAAGCTTTGAATTCGCTTGCATGAGCTAGTTAGGCTCTCTTAAACTACTTAAGGTTTGGGAAGATTTTCCGGTATGTGTACTGGAGGTTGAAAGAAAAAGGATGGAATTGGACTACAAACTATAGAGTAGTAAATGAAGAAGAACTGGGAGCAAATCAATTTAACATCATGCACTGGCTGTTTCTTGCCTATTTAAAAGATTAAACAGTAGGAAGGTTTGTTTCATTCCATTGCTTTACTCTTATCTATGAGGAATTGGCGGCGAGAAAGGCCTACTGTCAACAACTTTGGAATTGTTTTTTTATGAAATTGTTGAGGGACGTTTTGGATCTGTGGTGGTAGACATATTGCATTTGAATTATTTGTATGGTTAATATTATCAGTTGGCAATATGAGTATCTTTTTTATGTGAATTGTTTCACTGGTTTCAATTAAAGCATCTTGAACATCCAAGATCTTAACAAAAAGGTAATAATATAACATTTAAATTGAACATGGCAATCGATTGCACTATATAGTTGACACATGAAAATTATAGAAAAAGAAAAATAGGCGAAAGGTAGTGGGGAGTTGTTTCTCTTGTCATTTGTTCAGTTAGTGTATTTAGGTGATACTTCCAATACTAATGCTTTTTTGTCTGTTTGTGTGCTTTTCATTTATTACTTCGTTTGGGTCTGGTTGCCTGCATTGGGCTTTTGTTCGCTTGCTTTACAGTTTCTTTTTTGTGTGTTCTATTCAAGCAGATTGTGAACTGGAGAACTCATTTGAAGTTTCCTGAAGAAGCAAAGCTTTCTTCAGAAGCAAAAGACTTAATTAGCAAACTTCTGTGTAATGTGAATCAGAGATTGGGTTCAAAAGGAGCACATGAAATAAAGGTGTTGTACGGTGTGTTCTATTCTAAGTTCTCGCACCCTTTCTGCGGAATGAATTATAAGTAAGAGATTCATCCAGCTGGTTCTCCATTTCCAGGCTCATCCATGGTTTGCGGGTACTGAATGGGATAAACTTTATCAAATGGAAGCTGCATTTATTCCTGAGGTTAAAGATGAGTTGGATACTCAAAATTTTGAAAAATTTGAAGAGGTAAACTTGTACTTCATCTTCACTTGATTTGCATATTTGTAGTAATGTTTCCTGGATCACCTACTCCATTGGCTTCTCATATCACTTATGAGATCTTCTGCTTGTTTCTTTTTGGCAGCAGTCTGATACTCTTGAACACTCATCGAGCAAAGCAGGTCCATGGAGAAAGGTGAGTCGAACTCTATAGCAATGTCAAGATTGGTGTTTAATCAACGCATATTGTATCATCTCTTTTGCATATTAATATTATATGTTCTGACGCACCCTTTTTGCCTTCAGTTTCTCACTCATACCATGATGATTGACAATCTTTTGAGATACAATGATAATACAAACAATAAGTTATTTGAACTTCCAACTTGAACATAGCTTAATGTTCCTGTTCTTCAGATATATAGACAAGCCGTTAGTGGGACCTCAAAAAATTAGTTTTCAAGTTATGTCATCCTTGTTATATTAGATTTGCATGAAGGCAAGGACATACAAATTGAATAGTTTACCAACATAGGTTTGAGCTTAATCTTGAATTCTGTTTAGGAATGTTTTGCATTAAAGTTGAAAATTAAGACCTGTCATAATTCAACTTCAACTCCCCATGTCTAAAAATGTACGAATTCACTTATTCTAGTCTTAGAGTGAGTCTGCTTTTATGTCTCTGCCTGTTCTCTCTTAATTTTAAGTTTGGTAGAAGTTTGTTTCAATACAGGCACGTGCATCTCTCTCTCGCTCACAACCCAAACCTCCCCCACCCCCCCCCCCCCCCCCCCCCCCCTGGACAGAGCATGTCTGCATCTACATGGGTGTCAAAGACAGCTTAAATTGCTGTGGATCTCCAGTGCTATTCCGACACCATGCAAATTTACTGTTATTGTTGTTAAGACAATTCTTTGCGATACTGATCTGCAAAGTAGCGGTGTAGCATATTGATCCTTTAGAAATTTTGTGTTTGCCATTGACGCATTTAAAAAGTGGTTTGGTTACCCTTATTTAGCAATTATTGTTATGCTCCCAGAATGATATATTAATTTCCTAGTTAAGCTTTTGTTGTTCTTGTACTTTATTGCGGTTTGTTACTGTAGACCTAGAAATAAGAGACATCTTCCCTGCTACTAGAGCGAGCATATCACAATCTTGTAGCTGCCAGTTTGTCACTTGTTGATCGTAATTACTCCACTTAGTATTCATTGTTGAGATTTCATGCTGATCGCCTCTCGCTTTGCGGTTGGCCTTCCAGTTTGAGAACTGCTAATGACAAACAAGAAAAGTATATATTAACTTACCTCATTTTGTATAATTTTTATTGTGTCTTGCAGATGCTTTCTTCTAAAGACATCAATTTTGTTGGATACACATACAAGAACTTTGAAATTGTCAATGATTACCCAGTCCCTGGGATGGGTAAGTAATCTCTCTCTACCTGATAGATGAACTGCACTGATTCTATAGGAACCGTATTTTATGTCACAGATTGAAATTTTGATAAGATTGTGGTTAGCAAAGTTTTGAGGGTTAATTTCATTTTATTTTTGAAGGACAATGATCCAATGAAATTTCTATATCATGTCATATAGACAATGAAGGTTCCACTCCTTTTTGTAATTATGACGTAAATAAAAGTTCCCACATCAAGGAGCTTGGATATTTGGGAAGTGCTAAACTTCATAATAGTCCAGAATTACTAAGCTATTTGAATCAATAGCCTTATGTGGTTTCATAGCATCACGTATAGGCTTAGGTTTGAAATTTTTCTTCGTTACCTATGGAGGACCATGGGAGGTTTGAAATTCATTCGATGGATTTTTTTCAAATTCTGGTTATTTAAGTAGAGAGGTTCTCGCGATACATGGATTTTTGATGTACCACAGTTGGGTGCATCAAAACAAGCCAGTCCCTGGAACGAAATAGTCAGCTTCTTCTCTTTCTCTTTGCCCCGTTTATTTCCCCTTGGCACATTGCTCTAGTGAACTAAAAGAAAGATGAGGTAATTTATTTTGATTTTCATCTCAGCCGAGTTAAAGAAGAAAAACAGCAGATCGACGAGGCCATCCGTGAAGACACTTTTTGGTAAGTCATCCTCATCTGCGGTAATTGTATAGTAGCAAGTAGAAAACACTCCTTTTTTTATGCTTCGTCTTTTGTAATTTATTTCGAGTGCAACTGGAGACTCCTTTATGACTCATTTTCCCTCTCGGTCTCGGAACTTGGCAGAGGAAGAAGAGTCGAAGTCTTCTGGTACCAGCATTGACGATTGACCTGGTTGAGGAAGCGATTACAGCTGAATACATAGGAGTTGTGATTTCACATAGTTGCGAAACCAAGCATGATCGCAGGGTCCGAGATTACACCACAAGCTAATTTAGCTAGGAAAGAAATTAAGTACTGAGCAATGATCACACTCATCGTGGATATGATATTTGCTCTAAGTCTCAATCCCTCTCACTCCTGGGGAATCGAATGGATCGTCTTTTTCCTACTGTAGGTGAACGGGATGGGCGCATAGGATCTCATTTCGGGGTTTGATTTGGTCTGAGATGTTCGCGGAGGACTCTGAAGCCAGTCTCAGAAGAGAAACTAACGAGGGAGGCATCTGAAACTTCCCCTCAACATATCAAATTCCAGATTTCTTTCTTTTTCTTATCTTGTAACATTTCAGTGTAACGATAGTGAGAGTTGCACTATAAGTACGGGAGATACAAACATTGGAAAGATCTAAACTTGGATGTGGGATGTGCGAAAGTCTGTTTCACGTATTGTATTATTGTTCATAGTTGGAAGCTTGAAAATAAAGCCCTCGTCAGCGTGGTGCTTCGATCTCTATCTTTATCTGACCTCTCCTTCCTTCCTCGTCTGTTTTTGCGTTTATTGCTTATTGGGATAGTGACACAAATAATCCATGAACTTTATTTCAATATGCAACGTGGTCCTTGAACTTTTAATTTATCCAATATGGTCTTTTAACTTTAATCCAATATGCAACGTGATTCCTGAACTTTTAATTTGTTCAATGGGGTCCCTGGACTTTTGGTACATGTTCAATATAGTCCTTGAACTATATAAAATTGTTCAATGTTGCATTTCCATTAATTCAAAAGCAAAGACATTATTGAACATTTTCATCTGGTTTTAGGACTAAATTGAACATGTATCATAAGTTTAGGGACCGCATTGAAAAAATTGAAAGTTCAAGGTTCACATTACACATTGGGTTAAAATTCAATGATAATATTAAACAAATTAAAAGTTTAGGAATTACATTGCACATTTGGCCATAGTTTAAGGACTATTTGTGTCATTTTTTCTTGCTTATTTTCCAAATTTTCATGGGATGTGGCATGCACGTAAAGACTAATTTGGCATAGGGAAGGTAAGATGGAAAATGGGTCAAACATCCACCGTTAGATAACGTGGGCCTCAATACGATGTAGTAACACATGACTTGGGCTCATATGAATAGGACGGATCCAACATGGGAAAATGATATAAATAATCTGTGAATTTTTAATTTATTCAATGTAATTTCTGAATTTTAGCCCAATGTGCAATGTGGTCCCTGAACTTTCAATTTATTCAATTTAGTCCATGAAATATATTAAAATGTTCAAAATTATCTCTGAACTTAAATTAATGGAAGGACAATATTGAACTTTTTTATATCGTTCATAGACTAAATTAAACATATACCAAAAGTCCATATACCGCATTGAATAAATTGAAAGTTCAAGAACTACATTACACATTGGGCTAAAGTTCAGAGATCATATTGAACAAATCAAAAATTCATGGATCACATTGTATATTGGGTTAAAGTTAAGAGACCATTTGTCTTATTATCCCAAATTTTAAGTACGATATGGAATTAGGACAAACTTTGCTTGAATTATCAAATTATTTGACACCCTTCGGAGGGGGAGCAAATTTTATACGATCTTGATGTAAGTGAACTCAACTCATATGTTTTGAAAAAAAAAAAAACTCAACTCATATGTATCAACGGTGCACATGAGCCTTTAACAATACATGGATAGGACTCCATTCTGACCCATGAATCAAAAGTCACTTTCTTGGAGGCACAGATAGCATCTATTCTGTTGTTCTTTTTCATTACTAGTCATACAACTAATAGAACTGTACATTACAAAGCAACAGAAAAACAAAACATAAAGACCAATTGAAAATTCTTGTTGTAACGGGAGCTATTATCATTCCATCGAAATTGAAAGGTGCAAGATTCAAATAATTCGGGAAGTTTTGCTCGAAATATGACCAGATGACAAAAAGAGTTTGAAAATCATCCTTTAAAAAAAGTAGAATAAAAATTCACTTGTGCGCATACTGTATACTAGATATCTGCAGCGTAATCTCTATTATGCAAAAGCCAATTCAATGGGGGGTTTGAGCTTCAAACATTTATTCAAAAATTTCATGAAACATGCGTGACCTTCATTAGGATATGTAATATACTAGGAAGGACAAAATCATAATTTAAATAGAAATATAATTGTCAGCTAATCCATAATTCAATAAAACTCCATAATGCTGGGAGAAGCATGAGGGATCAAATGGGTTGTGAGAGTGATGTTAAAAACTCATGTCACGAATCTACAAATGGGTTGTGAGAGTGATGTTAAAAGCTTGCGTTAGGAACCTACTCATGAAAGGAACATCATGTGAAAGATGTCCGAAGGCAGGATTGGATATTCGAGTATAAATTGGTTGAGAGCTAATGCCGCTCTTCTGATAAAGACCACAGTAAGCCAAAACTAGTTGTTGTTTTGAATCAAGATGCATGCCTCGCTCGGGACATGAGATGCCTCAATTGAAGGGAGTCGTGGTACGGTCGATCGTAATAAGGCATTCCCCGGTACAATCCATAAGAACAATATTCAAAAAGAAAGACTGGCATAATGAATTGGCTCACCAACCATCTCATGATCCCATAATCGAGGCAAATCTGCATCTATCATGACAAATGGTATCAAAGTAAGTTCCCAAATTGTATATGTGGAGGCCATCTATTACCATATTTCAAGCATGAGCAATGGAATAGGGCGAAAATGTGTTTCAGTTGGGCAAGCAACATTCGTGTAATGCCTAGGAATAGGCATTGATAGTGCGGTACGCAAGGAAGTGATAGGGAGTAACGCATTATGTTGGGCGAGCATTGACCTTTTATCTAAGACCTAGGGAGAGGCAATAGTAATTAGAGGAATGAAGGAAACGACAGATTTTTCCGTGACAAGGGCATTGCAGAAATCAGTTGGGAGAGAATGTCATTGTCCGACATTTTTTCATTCCATGAAGGCATGGAAATGGACTCCACAATATCAGAAGAAGCATTAGCAATGCAAGATAGATGATACAATTGGTTCGTGAAAGCGGTATTTTAGGAAGCACGGATACTTTATGGGGGCCTTCGTGTCGGTGTCGGACATGTTCGACACTTTTCTTTTATTATTTTTTTTGCGTGGATTTGAATCAAATTAATTTGATTGAAATAATCATAAAAATGATAATTTATCATGTATATATAAAAATATAAATTTAATATACAACGTGTCTCAATTTGTCGGAATTCTCTATTTTTTTAAAAATGACGTGTCGGCGTATCATGTCATGTGTCGGTGTCAATTCTACTTAGGTGGTATTAGAATGTTTGGACTAAAATTCTACTAATGAAAGGAATATCATTCGTAAGATGTCCGAAAGCAGGCTTGGCCCCCATGCACATTATGATCGGGAGTTGATGCCGCTCTTCTAATGATAGTCACAGCATATCGAAATCAATTGTTATATTGAGTAGAGATGCATGCCTTGCCTGCTTTCGGACATCTTACGCTAAGGGTGAGCATGGTCCGAATGGGCGGTTCCTACCATAGAAACAAAAACCGCCCACTAAGGATCGGTTTCAAAAAAATGAAACCGAAAATCGCTCGTTGGTTCATTGGATCCACCTGAGAACCAGACCGGCAGTCCGGTCCGGTTCTCGAGTGGGTCCATGGAACCAGTCCCACTAGCCAGGGACGGAGACGAAAAGATGGAGACGGAGACGAAAATGGAAAGTCGAAAACGATGAGGTGAGCATCGACCGAAAAAAGTGAAAGTGAGAGTGAGAGTGAGCATGAGGCGAAAACGAAAGAAGGTGTTTCTCAGCTCAATGTGAGGCTGCGAGCGTCGAGCGAGTTAGATTTAATTTAAGGCTTTAGGATTTTTCTTTTTTTTAAAAAATATATTATATTTATTATTATATTACCCATCCGGTCCGGGTGGGCGGTTCCACACCTGAAACTGAGAACCGGACCGGTACCCACCGGTTCCCAACAATTGGAACCAAAAACCAGACCGGTTCCGGTCCGATTCCGGGCGGTCCCGGACATTTCCTGGTTCTTTTGCACACCCCTATCTTACACATGATATTGATTTCGCTATGCTGAAATCAGCCCAGACTGTGACACCCTATGGCTACTACCCCGTTAAAGGCTGGCGGTCCTTTACAAAGAGTTTCACACAAACCAAAGGCAACCTACGATATCGAAGAGGTGGTATCACTGCTTGAAAATGACTCAAACCAAGATTTCGTGCAGCACATGACCCACTACTCCGGCCACAAACAGGTCTTGCCACTGCAAAAAAATCTATTAAAAATTGATAAAACTTCCTCATTTTATACTTCAATCCAGAAAAGATGAGTTGAAGAAGTTCTCTCAATTTGGATAATAACCAAGTCTGCCTTGCAAAGCAGTTTCATTCAACATCCTCATGAAAGTCAGGAAATCTTTTTGAAATGTTCTGTGCAGGAATTAGAATACCTATTGTGGAAGCAAAATCTAGAGGGACAAGAAACAGCCGGTTTCACAATGCATTTGATATTCATTTTGTGCAGAAAAAGTTTGTACTCTCTCATCTAGTTCCAAGATCTTACACCATCATTGCCATGAAAGGAACTAGCGATGGACCTTAATATTGTAAATGACTTCACCACCAGCAGCAGCAGATGTCTGAAACAAGAGTAACAATTACATATGCAACTTCAGTAGATGTTTATACATTATCCACCAATTTTGCCGATTTAGCAGAGACTAGGTCCACCAATCTGTTTTCCCTTCGGTATATTTCTAACTAGGAAGAGTAGCGACCAAAGCAAAACAGCTAACCTCTCGACAAGCGAAAAATTCCGATAAGACAAGGCCGTGTCTGCAACGGCAAACCTCCATTCATGCCACTCTCATAAATTTTGCGTGAGGGCTTCATCAAGACAGTTATATATTAAAGCCGACAACATCTTATGTCCTTCCAGTATTTGATTCTCCCATGTTGACGCCTGCCCCTCCAACCTGAGCGGAACCCTGGGATTCCATAGTCATTTGCTGCTGAACAGCCTGTGGCCGGCTCTGTGCCCAGCTCGCTCTGTTTCCAGGATCTCTCCTTTCAACCTGCATCGTTTCACGGCGCCTATCATACCGTGGGCGAGGCCGCCTCGTTGGCTGCCTCTCGTTATACCAATATTGCGGCCGGTGAATGACTTTACCATCAACAAACAAATCACCTGATAACGTGCTCCGAGAATTCGGAAGCCAACATTGTTTGCAGTTAGCAAGGGGGACACACAAATGAACGGAAGCAACGCGCTCATAACTGGCAGTAATATGGCGAAATGCTCTAAACACCAACCTCCATAATCTTTGTTCGGCACATCAAGATACGAATCGGGCAAAACCCAGAGAACACCAGGTAGTCCTATTCAACCAAGACGAAGCAATTTAATCAAAAACTCAAGCCAACACGATCCGACACCAAGGCGACACCAATCCTCAATCATCGAATTGAGTGGAATCTCCAACAATTTCCAAGCTAATTGAAGACACTAGCATCCAAAAACCAATTTGAACATCCTTAAATCCTAAACCCAGATCAAAATGAATCACCTTTAACTTTATAGGAGAGCTCCTCGGAGATCAAGCACCCGAATCCGGTATAAGTGGTCGTGCAAACTGAGTAAATCTTCTTCTTCGCCTCCTCCTCACTGGAAACTCGAACACATGCGAATCACCAGCTTGAACTAGGAAAAGAAATTAAATAGAAGGAAAAAAAAAACACACACACACACACAGCGTCGAAATTGGTTACCTTCCGACAACGGAGGCTAGGGTTTTGACGTAAGCGTTGACCATCTCCTCCTCGGAGGGCTTGGGGTCGGCGGGGAACTCCATGACGATGAGCCAGTGCTCGTAGTCACAGCCGTCGAGGAGGATGGTCTCCTTGGGAGGCCGGTTGCTCCAGTTCGGCGACGGGTCGTTCAGGGGCGAGTAGCCCGACCCGGAGGTCTTGGGGCGGGTCGGGACGCCGAGCGGGTCAGGCCCGGGGAAGGGCGAGGCGTGGAGGAGAGGAATGGAGAGGCGAGAGCGAGAGGAGGAGGATGGAGATGGGGAAGCGAGGGCTCGAGCGAGGAGCGAAGCTAGGGTTCGACGAGCTGTGATTGTGAAGGGGGAAGCCATTGACGAGGAGTGTTCGAGCTTTTAGGGTTCGAGGGAGTCACCGCGGATCGTCGCTCTCTCGTCTGCGTATGTATGGCTACTCCGCTTTTGCGTCCGCTGACAACAGAGAGAACGATCCTCTCCCATCCAAGGTTCCGCTTCCGCTTCTGTTTTTTGGAAAATGACTCGCGGACGCGGAGTGCTTAATTTTGCCCCAATATGCAATTTAATCCATGAATTTTTAATTTATTTAGTATAATCTCTGAACTTTAGCCTAATATATAATGTGATCCCTGAACTTTTAATTTGTTACATATGATTCTTCAAGTTTTGGTACATGCTCAATTTAGTCCCTGAACTATATGAAAATATTCAATATATACTGAACATTAGGCTAAAGTTTATGGATTTTATTGAAGAAATTAAAAGTTCATGAACCAAATTAAACATCGGGCCAAAGTTAGGGACTCTTTGAGTCATTTTTCCTCTCTTTTTTAAAGGGAAAAAGCCAAAAAAAAATTTTAACTATACCAACCGTGAGGCCTAACTCCCAAAAAAAATTGGTCAAGTCTCAAATCTGCTCCATAACTTATTTTTATCTCGGAAAAACTCCAGACTTTAGGTTCAGTCTCAAATCTGCCCTGAACATTTTTTTATCTTGGAAAAAACCCCAAACTTTAAGTCCAATACCAAATCTGCTTCGAATTTTTTTTGTCTAAAAAAATCACCAAATTTCAATCTATTATAAGTTCTACCCCTTAATTAATGCCCAACTTGATGTGTCATTTTCACGTTGATAACAATTCACATCGGCAAAGTAATAGGGTGATAAGTACGGACCGATATCGCATTTCCACTTCGATAACAAATCCGATCCAATAAAAATTGTTGAAATACTCCAAAATAAAACCGTTCTAGGATATGAAAGTTAGGGACGATAATAAATCCACCCCAATAAAACTTTTTTTTATCTAAAAAAATACCCAAACTTTAGGTTCAGTCCAAATTTCTATCGAACATTTCTTTGTCTTAAAAAAAAGCCACATTACTTTGCTGATGTGGATTTATTATTAACGTGGAAGTATCACGTCAAGTTGGGACTGAATCACGGAGGTACATTTTGAGAATAGATTGAAATTTGGTAATTTTTGTAGATAAAACAAAATTCGGGACGAATTTGGGATTGGACTTAAAGTTAGGGTTTTTTTTAGAAAAAAAAAGTTTGGGGCAAATTTGAAACTGGACCTAAAGTTGGAAGTTTTTTTTGGGAATTAGGACCCATTATGACATATTTACTCTCAAATTTTTTTGTGACATCAAAAACTCCAAACTGTCTATTGTGACACATTTACCCTAAATTTGTAACATAAAAAATCCAAAAACCTGTGACATATTTACCCTCCATTAATATTCCATCGGATGATTTTTCAGTTAAAATGTCTTTTTTATTTCACTTAAGCCACGTCAACGCCATTTCAACAACGTTCGCTTTAATGCAGGTAGGTTTTTAACGGTCCTCATTGATGAAACTTCGATAGAAGATAAATGTGTCGTACAAGTTTAAGATTTTTGGTATCGAAAAAAAAAATTAAGATAATTGTGTCATAACTCTTATGTTTAGGATAACAGTTCTTCTTTGCCCACTTTATTCCATCCACTTAAATAGATCATCACCTAGTAAAGTCTGTCTACATCCTTCTAATCCTCAAGTACACTTTCATCACGGTCACCTCACGGATAATTTCATTACCCTCATGTCATCATCATTATCATTGTTCCCGCATTGGTAACCTCAAAAATGGTGCATTCGCGGAGTGCTCCATTAGCGTTCCTGAAAATTTGTTCTATAATTCTAATACATGTACCGAATTGAATTTAAACCATTTAAAATTGGTTCTCCTAAATTGAATTTAGACCATTGAGAATTGGTTCTCCCGAATGCAGGTTCATTCTAATATATTAGCGAGTTTGAACTGTTTATTCCATAATTCATGCCCATCAAAATACGGACTCAGCATACAATAAGATACTACCGCCTGAGTGGTTTTTTGCCGGAGAAACATCACAATACTTCGTTAAAACGAACCCGATCAATTATATCTTTTAAAAGCAATTCTAACAAAGAAGATGGGGGGTGTCGTTACCTAATCACCCAAGCACATCCTCTTTTTACCTCCTTGTGCTGACCAATTTGCACTTTCTTTACCACCACCTATAATCACATTAAAAGAAAAACCCTCAAAAACAGAAGACAAAGAGTGAATGTCTGCAATTAGAAGAGATATCTTCCAGCTACTGCTGAATTTCCCAGCCTTCAGACTCTTGTAGACACCAATTATGAGTCGATTTTCGAATACCACCTTCCATTGTTTCCTTTTAGCCAACAAGACCCCTTCCCCGAGAGCTGCTGCTTCAGTAACCTCAGCACAATCTGCATTTATCTCCTTGCTAATACCTCCCAAACTCTACCTTTCCAGTCTCGAGCTAGAATACCTCTACCTGCTTCTTGTGAACTTAGAGAGAAAGCACCACCACAACTTAGTTTCATAACATCTCTATCAGGCTTCATCCGTTCCTCTACAACGTCCTGTTGAGCGTTGGTTTGTTGGCCAACCTTCTTCTTAAGCAAACTTTTAGTATCAGGTGAGTGATGGCCAAAGGTGGCCTCGCATTTACCTTTCCCAGTATACCAACAAATGGTTAGAAGCTAATTGGCCAACACCCCCTTCTTAGCATGCTTCTCTGTTAATACTGCTGGCTAACTTAGACACCAAATCATCAATGGTAGAGATTGATTTGTTATGGATTTCGACCCTGAAACCTCTCAAAACCAACTCCTCTATTCCGTTCACATAAGAATGGAGCATGTTCAATAGTCTCATCCTCGTGGCAAAAGGAACACTCCTTACCAGCTCGTCTTCCTTTTCCACATATTATCAGTAGTGACAATGGCTTTTGTGCAGGCTCTCCAGAGACTGTTTACTTCTTTATACACGATCCAGGCTCCACAACATCTTCCAAAAGCTCCCCTCAACCACATGAGAAGTAGGTGGCCCGCTGTGTGCAACTTTCCCTCCTGCATTCTTCAAAACATAATAGGCTGACTTAACCAAAATTACTCCTCTTCCATCAGCAGGCCGGACCAGTTTGTCTTGCTAACCTCTGCATGGGATGTAGATCTTCAAGAGGCATCCATATCAACTTGGGACACCTGATACCCAATATGGAGAGATCCCAACAACTTGCTTATTTATTAATAATTTCTGAGACCTTCTACTCCTCATCAATGTTCTCACGATCCTTTGGAAGTATCTTAAAATTTTCAGCACCCGCCACCCTTGGATCAGCCCACACTTTAATACTTTCTCCATAGCCAATCTGCCAGCAAGCACCTTTTCTAAGACCATCTCTTCCTTCGAAAATGCTATTCCATCCCCATGATCTCCGAGCCCCTTTCCTATCTTCCCATGAAGCCACAATTTGGGAAATACGAACCTCCAAATTCCCTGGCCCATAGAGCTTGAGGATTCTGCAAGAGCCTCCAGGCTTGCTTAGTGAGCACAACAATGTTGAAGAGCTTAAGATCCTTGAAGCCCATTCCTCCTACATTTTTGACTTTATGAGAACATGCCACCTTTTCCAGGGCATTCTTCCTTCTGATTCTCTACGTCACCGCCTAAATCGAGCCATAAGTCCATGTGCTTCATCACTTCTTGGGCCACTTGAAACAATCTATTGAATATGGAGGTATTGCACAAGCCACTGCTTTGAGCAAAACTTCACTACCAGCCTGTGAGAGGAATTTCATTAACACCTTAGAGATTGTCTTCTAGACAAAGTTACACAAAGTTCTTGGCCTAAAATACGAGACTTCCTTTGGATTTGGAGTTTTTTGGAACACCAAAGCAATATTAGTAGTAGAGTTTGGAGAGACAGAGGAAGCTGACCTTAAACAAAAAAGAATTAAACAGCTGTGACAATGGAAGGTCCTACAACATCCCAATACTTTGATTAAAGAATCTCGAGAATTCATCTGGCCTAGGAGAATTTAGGGGGGCCCTGTTGAAAATTAGCTAGCCTTATCTCTTCTGCAGCTACCTCACTAAGGAAAGCCTGATCTATGCTTTCAGTCACCCTACAACTTACTGTAATCTAATACCCCTTCCCTGCTTCTATTTCCTCCATGTGAAAAGCTTCCTATTATAATCAACACATATTCATTGTCCGGAAGATCTGGCCATGGCAGCCATAGGCTTTAAAGCTCGAATGATCATGCAAAGGCGGCGGCCGTGAGCCTCGAGCTCGAGCAAGCCATGGCCGCGATATGGCTTCTTCTGGGCCGGTTCTCTCTCTCTCTTAAGTAACTGTTTTTTTTAGTTTTCATGTTGTTTTGACATAGTAGTTTTGAGTGTATCCTAACACCATACGTGTACTCCATCGTCCACATCAACAATCCAACTAACCATATTAGCAAAATTTCACCGGCAAAAGAAATAAATTAATGGAACCGCTGACGTAGAACGTTTTAGGAAGTACAGGGACGATTTTGGACAAAAAAGAGCAGAAGACGATTTTGAATTTCGGACAAAATAGAAGGACCATTGGTGACATAAAGCATATAGCAATTGAACTTGCACAGGAATTTCCCAAAATAAGTAGATCATTCAGTCATACAGGGAAATTCCTAATTCTGAGATGGATACGATGGAAAAGATGACCACAAAAATGAAAAAAGGAGGATATTTACAGTGTACAATTTGGAACAAATACGAATGATCCTCTATTCATCAATTCAACAAATTTTTGTTTCTCGATCTTCAGCTCATGGATTCTTTAGTGCCGCCAACCGCTTTTCAAGCTCATCAATGCCCGAACTGCAGCATAATAAGTATCCAAATGAAATCAACCAACAATTTGAAGAACTTTTCCGTAAGGCTTTAAGGATAACTAAGTAATCGGCTAGAATGCTGGCAATCATTGCAAGTCAGGTCGACCAAAACAATCATTCACAAATACATGAGCTCATTACTCTCACCTTGCAAGAACAAATACAACATAAAGCATGCAATAATAGAAACTCGGGATACAACAATTGTTCCAACCAAAGATAGAAATGAGACCATATTTTCTCAGCAAACAAAATATGATCAATTATTTACAAGCAAATAATATTATCTGACTAC